TTTCTTGCAGATAAGAAAGAATGTTGTTGGATGATTTTGATTTCTTTGGTCTAATAGCTTCTTCTGCATCACAATCTGTATATAGAAGGTCACATGAAAATATGTTCTTTCCAATTAAAGGTTAAAACAATAAAATAATAAATTATTGTGCTTATGATTTACCTTTGTAATTCAAAAACGTCTGCAATAAAATGCATGTTTCAAATCAACGAAAAACCATAAAATTGTTCTTACCATCTCTGTTTTTAGGGACATATGAAGATAGTAATAAAAAGATAGTTTACAGCAGAACCAAACATAAACATTTTTTGTACATAAATTAGGCCGTTAGTTTTCTCGTTTGAATTTTATAGCTGACTGTGCGGTATGGGCTTTGCTCATTGTTGAAGGCCGTATGGTGACCTATAGTTGTTAATTTCTGTGTCATTTGGTCTCTTGTGGAGAGTTGTCTCATTGGCAATCATACCACATCTCCTTTTTTATAATAACCACAACCATTTTATTTTTCAAACTGATTGAGGCGAGTCATTTTATACAAATTGTATTGTAAATATAGAATACCAAAAATAAACTAAAATTATCATGACTTTAACTTACCTTTTGTGGGTGTCAGGGTTTCTAATGCCCTTTTTCTAATGTCAAGGGAAGCCTTTTCTAGGGAAGCTGTTTTTTCTTTATCTGCATCCTTTTTCCTCTCTTCTTCCTCCATCAACCCTATCACCTCCTCCAGTAAAATTTCTCTTTCGCTATATTCCTCATTTATACCTGATCTAAAACATATAATGTAAAATTATAAATCAAGCAGAATTAATTCACTCCATTGGAAGGCTTTATATTTGAAACTAAATCAAACACAAAACAAAAAGAACTTGCATTTGATTTGAAAGCTAATAATTTTTAAAATAACTCTTTTTAAACACTTTTACACTTTTAATAAATCTTTTTAAACACTTTTACACTTTTAATAAATCTTTTTCATTCCTGTTCTTAAGTTAAAGGCAATTGATTTTAGGGGGCTGCTCATTTTCTGGAAAATATTTATTTTTATTTTTATGAAAAAATGTACCAAATTGAATGTACAAAATGTAAATAAGACACCCCCTGGAAAATCACTTACTTTTTCAAGTTTTCCCTATTATCTTTTTTGAATTGGGTAATTAACAAGTTGGTCCTCTCTCTAGCCCGTCTCCCATCTATTTGGAAGGTTGTTGTCGAGAGTTTTTCGCCTATCTCTATCCACTTCCCTTTATTTCGGAATGGATTGTCTAATGTGACCTCCCTTAGCAGTTTAATATCATCAGCCACAGAAAATCTTGCTTGCTTTTTTCTTGCAGGAGTACAAGATGCCATCTTTAAGTGCCCTGTAAGATATGAAATATTTTCTACAAATCAAAATAAATGTATGAAACTTGTAATTTGTTAACAAAATTATGGTAAAGATATGGATAGGAAGGAAGACTCTATTACAGAGTCAATTTAGAAGGAAATTCTTGTATTTATTATTCACTTTGTTTTCCTCCGTTGGTAGCAAGGTATTGCGGCAACGTCAATCAAAGGGATATATTCTTCATAAAATTCATTTTAGGTACATTTCAGTGACAAGTGCCCGCTTGGCGGCCCATATATTTCTTTTCGTTTGTAAACAACAAAATAATCTTCTGAATTCAATGTAATTAGAGCTGCATACTCCCGAGAGAAAAAAGAAATTATTTTACTGCTATTTTCATTGAAAGAATGTTCAGAAAATCCAATAAAACTCAGAAGTTTGTACGTACGTGTAAATCCCGCCTTACAAGTTCCCAGTGGCGTGTACTTGTAAAACGTCTCATACATTGATGACGTATAACGCACTGCATCAGGGATTTTCCCTACTACCCGTACCCGTACACGTACACGTCTGCTTTGCTAAACCTCTCTAATATCACTTAAACCTATACAAAAAAGGGTGGGTTCCGTTTAAATTTACGGGATGAATAAATACGCAACCACTGTCGGAATTTCGCCGCAAAAAATTTCTCCTTTTCCATTCTCAATTTTACTTCATCACTGCTTCATACAAACAAGGATACACAAAACAGGGTTCACTCAAAGTAAAAGACCCTTTTTCTTCTGTGCGATTTGTAGTTACAAATTTAAATCTAATAAGAAAAGACAAGAATATTTTATTTGATATCCAAAATTGCGTTGTTGCTGATAAATATCTTTTCTTAACGTTACAATTTTATTTATATTAATTGGTAATGAAACATGTTTTTTTCTTTATTTTGAGAGGAGTATACAAACACTAATTCAAACAACTTTTTATCGTTAAGAAAATTTAGATATCACTTTCTTCACTGTTGGTATGACTTGAATTTTTTTAAATTGTTGCTAGACTTTTTGTCAACCTCGTCAATTGCCTCCTTGTCATCTTGTTTGCATTTGCATCACAATTATTTCCAACTGTTTTTGGGGAAACCATTTCTGGGAACAAAGTCTCAAATAACTACTAAAATTATATTGCATTAAAATATAAACATTTGACATTCTATACGTTAACATTTTCTAAAGCTAAATTAAAAAGGTTAATATAAAACAGTTAAGTCGGACTATTGAACAGTGGTATACTATTGTTGCCTTTTTTTAAGTGGGATAATAAATACTTTTATATACTTTTATATATGACTTTTTTTGTCAACATTTTAACATCGCAAATATATTTTATAATTCACATTTCATGTTTGATAGCTAAAATTTTGCAAAATAAACTTACTTTTCAAACTCTTTTAAGATTTCAGCTTCTGCATTCATTTTTGCGTTTCTGTCTGTCTTGTTAAGTATATCAATAAATATGATCACAGTTAACAAAACTAATCTTTTCATCCTTAACTCGTTTTACTGCGTACATTTTGATAAATTCTAAGCTGTTAATGCGAGTTTGGTATCAACCTGAGGGGTAGTTGACCCTATATGGTCTTACCTGTTCTTGTAAGTCGACTCAAAAGTTGACGGTGTATAGAAATATTAGAGAGGTTTAGCAGTTGAACGTGTACGTGTACGTGTACTTGTACGGGTGAAATACACGTGCAAGTACACATACACGTACACGTTCATGTCTAATAGATGGCGCAACTTGTAAGAGTACATGTAAATACAATTTAACGGAGATTTCGATTGGGCACGATTATCGAATCGGAGAATATCATTCATCGGCAAGATGGCAAATTTTCGTCTGCTAGCTGCCATAGATGAGGAAATAGAGGACGAGTTATTGCTTCTTTCATGTTATAAGGACAATTCAAATTCAGGAGATGCTTTTAATTTTGATGAATTATCTGCAGAGGCTTGCAAAAAATTGTTCCGTTTTGAAAAAGATGACATTCCAAATTTATGTACAGCCTTGGGTATCCCAGATTCTTTTGTATGTGACAACCGAACAGTGTGTTCCGGTCTAGAAGCCTTATGTCTTTTATTACGTAGATTAGCTTATCCTAGTCGCCTTTCAGACCTTAAATCTGTATTCGGACACTCTGAAACTGATATGTCTATAATCATTAATACAGTATTGAACTTTGTCTACGATGCTCATAACCATCTCTTACATGATTTAAACAGTAATTGGTTGTCGCACAGGCATTTACAGGAATACGCTGACGCCGTTGTAGCTAGAGATGCACCTCTTCTTAATTGTTGGGGTTTCATTGATGGGACCGTTCGACCCTTATGTAGACCAACTACAAATCAGCGCATTCTGTTTAATGGTCATAAAAGAGTCCACGCTATAAAATTTCAAAGCATAGTTGCTCCTAATGGACTTGTAGCAAACATGTATGGTCCGATTGAAGGTCGAAGGCATGATTTGCCGGTCTACTACGAGAGAGTGGTATTTGTGGAGAACTTCAGACACATATGACAACCCCAACTGGTGACATTTATGTTATTTACGGTGATCCGGCTTACCCCATGACTTCACACATCATAAAACCTTTTCGTGGAGGAGTCATTTCAGCAGCACAGGCACGATTCAACAAGAAGATGTCTGCCGTGAGAACATGTGTGGAATGGACTTTTGGCAAAATTTTGACTTTGTTTGCATTTTTGGACTATAAGAAAAACTTGAAGTTGTATTTGCAACCTGTAGGGAAATATTACTTGGTTGGCACTATTCTTGTAAATTGTCATACTTGTCTATACGGTAGCGAGACTGGACATTATTTTGACATTGATCCACCAAGTTTGGAAAATTATTTGTCTGGATGAAGCTATATACACTACGTGTAATTCGTTTTTGTTGTACAATTGATGTGAACTTTGTCTTGAAAATAAAATAAATATTGTTGAAAATGTTAAATCTTAAATGTCTAATTCAAGATCCAGACCATATGGCACGTCTAAATAAAATTGAAAGGGTGTAACTTTTTATTCCATTATACATTTCTCATAGATATGTTGCAAGAAATTCCTTGAAGGCGTATATGTTATCAATTTTTACCAGCCTTCTCATCTCCGATTTAATTTGGTTAAAAAATACTGCATCTTCCCCTTGAAAAAAAAGGAAAAAGGAAAAATAAAGTTTCATGATTCCCCTTTTGAAATAATAGGAAATATCCTCATATGAACATTTGTACTTAGTTTCAAGTTGATGCGACTCCATCTTCATCATGAACAACCTTGACAAAAAATGTAACTTAGAATGTACTGTTTTTACACAATCATTTTTCTTTGAACCGTAAAATTTAGGTTCAAAAACTTAATTCAGCAAACAATTTAGAAAGATCATAACATGAGGAATATGTGTACTAAGTTCTACATCATCATTAACTGCCTTGACCAAAACTTAAATTGATACGAGACAGACGGACGGACGGACATGCAGACCAGAAAACATGATGCCCCTTTATTTACTATCAAAGATGGGGCATAATAAAAGGTATAAGTAAGACATTCACACACGAACTATCAACCAAGGTATTCCTGTTTTGGAACCGGTAAACATCAAATGTGGTGGGGGTAAAACTAAATTGTGGCATCTTATTTCAAGGAGACCATGAGTCAACAACCCACCAAAACAAAATTAAACCAAGCATTTTACTATCTCATTATCGAATCGCACAATATGACACAATGATGATGAAAAATTACAGCAAATTTAGAGTAATCAATATTTTGTATAATATCAGAAAATTTCTTTTTCCTATTCACAAAAATATCAGCTAATTCAGTTCTTGTCCGCGAGCTTTCTAAACATTTCAAAAATCATCATCTTTTCCTGTCTTTCAATATCCATTCTTTGTCTCCTCTCGTTTTTCTCCAACTCAAATTTCTCCCTCTCAAACTGTAGTTGTTGTTTCTTCATTTCCATCTCCTCTTTCCTTATTTCCATCTCTACTTCCTTCTTTTCTTGCAGATAAGAAAGAATGTTGTTGGATGATTTTGATTTCTTTGGTCTAATAGCTTCTTCTGCATCACAATCTGTATATAGAAGGTCACATGAAAATATGTTCTTTCCAATTAAAGGTTAAAACAATAAAATAATAAATTATTGTGCTTATGATTTACCTTTGTAATTCAAAAACGTCTGCAATAAAATGCATGTTTCAAATCAACGAAAAACCATAAAATTGTTCTTACCATCTCTGTTTTTAGGGACATATGAAGATAGTAATAAAAAGATAGTTTACAGCAGAACCAAACATAAACATTTTTTGTACATAAATTAGGCCGTTAGTTTTCTCGTTTGAATTTTATAGCTGACTGTGCGGTATGGGCTTTGCTCATTGTTGAAGGCCGTATGGTGACCTATAGTTGTTAATTTCTGTGTCATTTGGTCTCTTGTGGAGAGTTGTCTCATTGGCAATCATACCACATCTCCTTTTTTATAATAACCACAACCATTTTATTTTTCAAACTGATTGAGGCGAGTCATTTTATACAAATTGTATTGTAAATATAGAATACCAAAAATAAACTAAAATTATCATGACTTTAACTTACCTTTTGTGGGTGTCAGGGTTTCTAATGCCCTTTTTCTAATGTCAAGGGAAGCCTTTTCTAGGGAAGCTGTTTTTTCTTTATCTGCATCCTTTTTCCTCTCTTCTTCCTCCATCAACCCTATCACCTCCTCCAGTAAAATTTCTCTTTCGCTATATTCCTCATTTATACCTGATCTAAAACATATAATGTAAAATTATAAATCAAGCAGAATTAATTCACTCCATTGGAAGGCTTTATATTTGAAACTAAATCAAACACAAAACAAAAAGAACTTGCATTTGATTTGAAAGCTAATAATTTTTAAAATAACTCTTTTTAAACACTTTTACACTTTTAATAAATCTTTTTAAACACTTTTACACTTTTAATAAATCTTTTTCATTCCTGTTCTTAAGTTAAAGGCAATTGATTTTAGGGGGCTGCTCATTTTCTGGAAAATATTTATTTTTATTTTTATGAAAAAATGTACCAAATTGAATGTACAAAATGTAAATAAGACACCCCCTGGAAAATCACTTACTTTTTCAAGTTTTCCCTATTATCTTTTTTGAATTGGGTAATTAACAAGTTGGTCCTCTCTCTAGCCCGTCTCCCATCTATTTGGAAGGTTGTTGTCGAGAGTTTTTCGCCTATCTCTATCCACTTCCCTTTATTTCGGAATGGATTGTCTAATGTGACCTCCCTTAGCAGTTTAATATCATCAGCCACAGAAAATCTTGCTTGCTTTTTTCTTGCAGGAGTACAAGATGCCATCTTTAAGTGCCCTGTAAGATATGAAATATTTTCTACAAATCAAAATAAATGTATGAAACTTGTAATTTGTTAACAAAATTATGGTAAAGATATGGATAGGAAGGAAGACTCTATTACAGAGTCAATTTAGAAGGAAATTCTTGTATTTATTATTCACTTTGTTTTCCTCCGTTGGTAGCAAGGTATTGCGGCAACGTCAATCAAAGGGATATATTCTTCATAAAATTCATTTTAGGTACATTTCAGTGACAAGTGCCCGCTTGGCGGCCCATATATTTCTTTTCGTTTGTAAACAACAAAATAATCTTCTGAATTCAATGTAATTAGAGCTGCATACTCCCGAGAGAAAAAAGAAATTATTTTACTGCTATTTTCATTGAAAGAATGTTCAGAAAATCCAATAAAACTCAGAAGTTTGTACGTACGTGTAAATCCCGCCTTACAAGTTCCCAGTGGCGTGTACTTGTAAAACGTCTCATACATTGATGACGTATAACGCACTGCATCAGGGATTTTCCCTACTACCCGTACACGTACACGTCTGCTTTGCTAAACCTCTCTAATATCACTTAAACCTATACAAAAAAGGGTGGGTTCCGTTTAAATTTACGGGATGAATAAATACGCAACCACTGTCGGAATTTCGCCGCAAAATCCGATGTCTCGTGTCAAGAGAAAGCACGAGATATATTTGACAAGGTAGATATTTTGATACGCGATGGATCACCTACGGGCCCACAAATACCTTACCTTACTTATGTCCGAGATTTGACATTGAATTGTAAGTCAAAATTCATCACTTGAAGTCTTATTTGGTTATAAAACCACAATTAGTACAATTTGACAGATCTTTGCTTTCACAAGTAATGTTGATTTACATCGTTCCTGAAGAAAGAACAAGGTAATTCTGTCTAATTTGTGACTGAAAATTGAAATTTGAACATGCAAACAAAGCAAATAATTTACCACGATGTTTGACTTCATGAACAACACTTCTCGTGTGAATATGTATTTGATACTTGCAATTGCTTAATATTCCGAATCACAAGCGTGTGTCGAAATATCAATTTTTTATGTTCCAAATCTCTGTGAATATTTTACACGTTTTAAACTTTGTAAAAACATATCAATTTTCTTTTCGCAAAAAAATCGCCTCAGTTTAGAGTTAACTGTATTTTTGTTGTCATATACCTTTGTAAAAAATATAATTCATGAATACTAACTTTATACAAGAAAAATATAAAATAAATAAACACATGAAGGAAACTATACAAGAAAACTATAAAAAGTTGTTCTTTAAGACATTGAATTAAAAATAATTATGAAATTGTGCAATATTTAATTAAAGGAAATAACTGTAAAACCAGGAAAAGCTTTACTAAAATAAGGGTAAGTTGCCATATTTTGGAAATTGAAAGGGGAGGTTCAGAAACATAAAAAGAGAAGAACGTTTATGTCAACATTGTTCTTAAAATAAGATAGATGATGAAGATCATTTCTTATTTAAATGTACATAAAATGAAAACGTGAGAATTGAATTCTTAAAAAAGATTACAAATATCTATTCAAATATATATGATATGGATAACTTGAATTAATTGGTTTTATGTCTTTCATGTCCGTCAGTTATGCGGTATGCTGCTCCATTTATGAACAAGTCATAGTCACTGAGGAGAGTGGATTCAACAACTGCATGGTATGTACATATATGAATTCATGTCTTGTATTTTATTATTTTAGTGATGTATTATGTAATGTGTTATTTTGCTAATTTGCATGTATACCAACAATCCCATACGGGTATAACAATGTATTATTTCAATAAATCTAATAAACTATAAACTGGTAAAAAGGGATTTTGTGGAATACGGGAGGTATTAACTTATCATAGATACCAGGCTTATAATTTGGTACGCCTGACATGCTTTTCGTCTATATATGACTCCTCAGTGGAGTCTAATGCAAAACAGTTAAAAGGCCGAAATCGTTCACGAAGTAGAAGGGCATTTAAAAACGGAAAGTTGTGCCAAATACGACTATGGCAATCTTGGCCTGCTGGTAAGCGATTTTTTAGGAATGATACCATACCCCCCCCCCCCCCCCCCCCCCAATAAATTTCGTTTTCCTAATCCCTAAATGAACTTATTCTATACTTTTGTGTCTATCGCAAATCTTTAAATTATGTTTAACCAACCTTTATCATTATACGAATGGTTGACATTGAATCATGCAGAATTTCTCTCATACCGTAACGACTTTAGTTGAAATAGCCAAATGACTGACACAGCTTTTTTTAAGACCACTTATCATTTTTATTTTTGTTAATGTCAATTACAGTTTGTAAAATTTAGAGAAACATAGGTTGCTAGTCTCTCATGTTAGGACTTCAAACATTTTGGTTATTCGATTTGACCTTTTTTTTTTTTTTTATCTTTTTTGGTTATAAGGCTTTGGATGCATTTGGTTGTCCACATGGATGTTATCCAAGAAAAACGTTTCGACCCTAGCATCTACTATACTATATTCTTAACACACACATTCACATGACAGTGAAATAATCGTTTATAGATTAAATGTAACAAAATATGGAAGAACTTGTTTTACTCTTGTACATGTAAATACATAATTTTGTTTACCAAAAAAAATCCTTCATGGAAAATGGCAAGATATCCGTTAGAACCACGTGAAAAAAGACAATAACAAAATGAGGTTTTTGAAACGAAATATTCAATTTTTGTAGGTAGTTCCTTGTCCGTTATAGTCATAGTTTATTGATAAATCCCGTATATATGATGTACCTACCTTCAAAATAATTTGTAGCGAGAACCCAAAAACATTCTAGTATTACATGTATTAAAGAAACAATGAGGAAATTAAAGGTTCTGTATTATTTCAGACAGTGATTTTCTGTAGCAAGAGTGCGATTGGTACCATTGGAACACCTACTACATGTAACATCAATACAACGAATACAATTATACGTAAATACTGAATCCCATTCCAACCGAACGTGGCTTCAAGATAATTTGTAGCGAGAACCCATAAGCATTCTAGTATTATACGTATTAAAGAAACAATGAGGAAATTAAAGGTTCTGTATTATTTCAGACAGTCATTTAGACTACAAGTACAAATGTATCTACTCGAAAATTTAAGGACCAGTATACATTATATGTGACTATAATGTGTTATAGATTATACAGGGAAATTCAAATACTGTGTTCGGGAATACTTAAAGAGAACTAGCTGTCAGTAACTGCGAGTTCTCTCAAATCTGTACTTAGTGTCTTTTTTGTTGTAGGGATGTATAAATACCCTGCCACGTCCGATCTGTGTTTTTGTTACTTGTTTTTCTACTTTGTATCGATCTAATGAGTTAAGCCCTGATCAACTGATGTTTATAGTTTGTTCATATTTTTTTTTGTTACACCATTGTTCCAGGTAGGGGGAGGGTTTGGACCCCGCTAACATTTTTAACCCCGCCACATTCTGTGTGTGACTATCTAAAGTAATGTGCGTGTAATTCAATGGTTGTCATTTGTTGCTGTATATCATATTTTTATTTCGTTCATTTTATTTTACATATATCAGGCCGTTAGTTTTCTCGTTTGAATTGTTTTACATTTTTTATTTCGGGCCTTTTATAGCTGAAGGCCGTGCGGTAAACTAGGGTTGTTAACTTCTATGTCATTTGGTCTCTGGTGGAGTGTTTTCTCACTGGCAATTATACCACATCTTCTTATATTTATATTTAGCCATGGGAGTTTCGTGTCTTTTTTGTTGTGGTGATATATAAATACCTTGCCACATAAGGTCTGTTTTTTGTTACTTGTTTTCCTGCTTTGTATCCCTCTGATGAGTTAAGCCTTTTTCAAATTATTTTCATAGTTTGTTCATATGTTGTGCTGTTGTACCACTGTCCCAGGAAGGGGGAGGGTTGGGCGCCCGTAAACAAGATTAACCCCGCCACATTCTGCATGTGCCTGTATTTCAAAGGTTGTAGTTTGTTGCTGTATATCATATTTTTTTTCGTTCATTGTGCTTAAATCAGGCCTTTAGTTTTCTCGATTGAATTGTTTTACATTTGTTATTTCGGGGCCTTTTGAAGCTGACTATCCAGTGTGGGTTTTGCTCATTGTTGAATGCCGTACGGTGACCTAAAGTTGTTAACTTCCATGTCATTTGGTCTCTGGTGGAGAGTTGTCTCATTGGCAATCATACCAAATCTTCTTATTCTTATATAAATAGTAAGTCTGCCGAAATAAAATTTATTAAGAATGCATAAAGGTTTATCATAGCTTCAATTAGTGATTAACATTAACATGCAAAATATATACAATCCCCCTAAGAGTGACTGGGGAATAGAAATATGGTAACTTTTTGTCTTTTCCCGACTAGCAGTAAAACCCTTGCAAAAGTGGGGCGCCTGTGATGTACAAGTACGCAGCCACGTCCGGTCAGAATGAGAAAGTTAAATCCGATGCCTTGAGTAGTGAAAGTGCCACGCTCTCTGTAGGTAAAGAACCCTTCCAACAATTCTTTGAGGGGTCCATAAATCATTTTGCCAAGCAGAATTTATGTCCTTACCAAATTTACCTTCATTTTCCAAGGACCTACCTATTGCATTAATTGTTAATTTGTTCCTGGACGATTAACAACCAACCATCAATCAATACAATATACAAAGACACTAATTAATCAATACCAAGCCATAACAATAGATTTATAAGACATTGTTAAAACATATTTATACTTTGGACACACCAAAAAAAAAATGTACGTAAAATATTTCAAACATGTATACATAATTGTGTAGACTAATCTTATAAATACTGAATAACAAAACTGTATCTTTAATGCTGAAATATCTGTCTGAAAGTTATCGATAGGGTACTGTGTGCTTTTGAAGCTCGTGCAGTGATTTGGGCTCAAAACAGGAATCCCTCGAATCTGCCGTAGCGAGAGTGCGATTGGTACCATCGGAACACCTACTACATGTAACATCAATACCACGAATACAATTATACGTAAATACTGAATCCCATTCCAACCGAACGTGGCTGCGTATTTATATATCCCGAACAACTAACTGTGCGTTTCTTAATCATGGGTTGAACTGCCGATAGCGAGGATTGCAGAGGACCATAAATATATACCCTAGTCAACCAAATGTCTTTCGAAGTAATCTTCATAAAGGAAATATAACAAACTCAACTGTAATTTATAGTATATATATGTAGCCAAGAAGCATTGTTCCGATCTGATAAAACTAATGGTGCTACTCACAAAGTTTAATGTTGAACAAAAACCAACAAAAAATGTACAAATTATAATATAAAGGGAATAATCTTCCTTTATTGTACAAAGTTCCTGTCGAAAACAAATTCTTAAACGCTGACATTTGTATAATC